CTGCCCACCAGCAGTGGGTAGTGGTGGAGACTCCCCCTAAAATCGGCTGGCCGCGGAGAGGCTCGGCCCCTTGGAGGACAGCTCGCTCAAGGGAGCCCTCACCTCCTTTTGCTCCTCCTCATCCTCGTTTCCTTGGTCACTGGTTGTCTCGCCAGAGTAATAGATCTTGCTGCTGGTCAGGACAAAGTAATGCGGGTTCCATTCCTGCAGAGAAACAAACTCTGGGTAAAAAGACCCCCGGAGGAAGCACCAAGCTGGCCCACCACCCATCTCTGGGGTCACCTCTCCCTGATCAGCACAGGCAGTGAGAGGTGATCAGGGCACTCGTTGACAACAGGGATTTCAGTGGAGTCACAGGAGCTTCCCACACACCCCCAGGTCCAGTAGCAGAACATCAGCATGTGGTCGGTCTCACAGACAAGGTGGCTGCAGACCACACCACTCCCGGGTGTATAAAAAGGAGGTGACCCAAAGAAGAGCAATTCCACACAAAAAGAAAACCCTCTGCGTGGATTAACAAGGGCCAACAGGAGTTGCCTAAGGAAGAGCACAGGAGAGAACCAGCACAGAAGCTCCCTCAGCCTTCAGAGGCTCCTGAGAAACAGGACAGAGCAGTGGTCCCTTGGATTATCTGCACCAGGTCACCATGAAACCATGTCCCTCAGCACCACATCTCCACGGCTTTTATAGCCCTCCAGGGATGGGGACCCCACCACTGCCCTGGGCAGCCTGAGCCAGACGCTGCCAACCCTTTTAGGGAGGACATTTTTATCTCATGTCCAACCTAAACCTGCCCTGGCACAACTTGAAGCTGTTTCCTCTTGTCCTTCCTTGTTCCTTGGGAGAAGAGCCCGACCCCCAGCTGGCCCCAACCTCCTGTCAGGAGAGCCAGAAGGTCTCCCCTGAGCCTCCTTTTCTCCAGGCTCAACAGCCTCAGGTCCTTCAGCTGCTCCTCACAAGTCTTGCTCTGTAGACTCTTCACCAGCTTAGTTGTCCTTTTCTGGCCACGCTCCAGCCCCTCAACGTTCTTCTTGGAGTGAAGGGCCCAAAACTGACCCCAGGACTCAAGGTGCATCCTCCCCAGTGCCAAGCAGAGGGGGACAACCCCTGCCCTACTCAATGGAGCCTCACAGAGTTACCCTGTCACTCCTGGAGCCCACAGAGCAGGGCCAGGGGGACAGTGGCAGAGAGAAGCTTACGTGATTGATGGGGTCTTCCAGGTAGAGGATCCCATTCTTGATGGAGTTGCTGATGTCATTCTCTGCATACATGACAGACGTGGGTAGCTCCTCGTAAGCACTGCCCTCGGCCAGCTTCTTGTGCTGGGGGATGAGAGACAGCAGGTCAGGCACCCTGAGGGGAGCAGGCCCCCAAAAAGCAGCATGGATCTCCTGGTGAACAACCCCAAAACTCCAGACTGCGCTGAGCTCCTCCGGACAAGAAGGACCAGGGTCAAACCCATGCCACAGAGATCATCAAACGCCACTAAAGTCCCATCCTGTCTTCCCAGAGGGGATTGCTGCAGCAGAAATATCACCAGCTCCCAAGCTCCAAAGAAAGGCAGCACCCAGCTGCTGAGCCCACCTCCCAGCAGCTCCTCTGAAGAAGATTGCTCTTTGTCTCCATTAGTTTTTTAGTATTAGGCTTCCACTTCCACCCTAGGCATGGTCAAGTCCTTCCAGAAGCAAGGAGCTCCCCTTGGTCCCACACCCTCACCCCACCTGCCCCTGTTCTCCCCACTTAGGAGCCTTTCTGGGGACAGCAGTTCACCTTGATGAGAATCTTTCTCTTGAGCTGGTTTGGAGAGGGAAGGCCGTCAGCAGAAATATCCACTGGTTTGGTCAAAAGCATGTCCCCAAAGACCTTCTTGAAATTCTGAGCCATGTTCCTCTGCTGAGCAATGCTGCAGTGGTCCTCAATGGACAGAATGACAGGGAAACTAAGAGAAGGAGAAGAGCCATCAGAACCAGCACGGTGTCTGGAGGGAACCAACACCTTCTGAGCTGTTTCCAAACCTGGCCTCATGCCCTCCAAGGGCAGCCTGCCTCCACAGCAAGCATAGAATCATAGAATCCTTTAGGTTGGAAGGGACCTCCAAGATCATCAAGTCCAACCATTGAGCCATTAGGGCTCTAAAGTCCTCTGCTAAAACAGATCAGAATCTGTCAGGGTTGGAAGGGACCACAAGGATCCCCCAGTTCCACCCCCTCTGCCATGAGCAGGGACACCTCCCACTAGATCAGGCTGCCCAGAGCCTCCTCCAGCCTGGCCTTAAAGACCCCCAGGGATGGGGCCTCAACCCCCTCCCTGGGCAACCCATTCCAGGGTCTCACCACTCTCATGGGGAGAACTTCTTCCTCACATCCAGCCTGAATCTGCCCGCTGCCAGCTTTGCCCCATTCCCCCATGTCCTGTCTTTACTTGATACCCTAAAAAGTCCCTCCCCAGCTTTCTTGTAGCCCCCCTAAGATACTGGAAGGCCACAATAAGGTCCCCTCGGAGCCTTCTCTTCTCCAGACTGAACAGCCCCAACTCTCTCAGTCTGTCCTCACAGCAGAGCTGCTCCAGCCCTCGGATCATTCTCGTGGCCCTTCTCTGGACACGCTCCAGCAGCTCCACGTCCCTCTTGTAATGGGGGCTCCAGAACTGGATGCAGTGCTCCAGGTGGGGTCTCAACGTTCAACCCACAGCAAGGTGCCCCCACCACTGCTGGCAGGGAGTGGAGAAGGGCTGGCAGCCTACTGGGGTTTACCCAAAGCCTTCCCTCCCACGAACTATCTGCTGGGAGAAACCAGCCTTTGGCTGGGAGACACGCCGTGCCTTCTTCCCACTGAACCTTGGGCTGTGGTCTTGTGCCAGATCTCTGGATGAAGGTGGGTTTTGCTTTGCTACAGCCTCAGCTCTACCCACCCTCTGCCTTCCTGGCAGCTCTCCTGGCTCAGCCCAGGTCCCTGCTGTACTCACTCAGAGGTGACAAAGGCGTGCTCCTTGATCGTCACCAAGACGTCGGAGAACTTGATCTTGGTGGTTAAGGTGTGTCCGTGGTAGATGACTGGCATCCCATCAGGACCATCCCAGCAATCCACTGAAAGACACCCAGAGGAGAAACTTAGCCCTCAATCTGCCACCTAGGCAGGACGTGGATGGTCACAGAGAGCAGAAGGTCCATCCTTTTGGAGGACCCAACCCTCGGCCACGTGCCACACAACCCCGCAAACGGCGCCAGCCCTTTTTGGCACATGGTGGTGGCAACGCTGCCGGGGGGGCAGGTCAGCCTTCAAGGTGGGGTCCTCCCCGAGCCCCAGCAGGAGGTGGGGTGGCAGAGGTGGCAGAGGTGGCAGAGGTGGCAGAGGTGGCAGGGGCAGCCCCGGGCACTCACGCTCGATGCAGCGGCAGCCCATGCGCAGGCAGCGGGCGTACGCCTCCAGCGAGGACTCGCTCGAGAACTGGTCCCCTGTCAGGTACCTGAGGAGACATCAGCACAGCACCCTGCTCACCAGGGGGACATGGGTCTGCTGGGAGCTCACTGACCTGCCCCTGCAAGAGGTGGGAGAGTGGCTTTCCCCACCCCCCAAGTCCCTCTGTGAGCACTGCTCTGAGGTGCAGCCTTGCTGCTGGCTCTCGGGGTAAGCCTCGGAGAGCGGGGCCCCAAGGAGCCCCCTGCACCTGCCAGAAGCACCCCAGAGCAGACAGGAGCTCACTGCCTGCTCTCCAGCCTGGCCCTCAGCAGGCTCAGGCCCTCAGGTAGGTCATAGAATCACTGTTTTGGTTGGAAGAGACCTCTAAGATCATCATTCCCCCAGCACTGCCAGGTCCCCACTGCCCCGTGTCCCTCACCCCACATCTCCACAGCTTGGAAACCCCTCCAGGGGTGGGGACTCCACCACTGCCCTGGGCAGCCTGGGCTTGACAACCCTTTCAGGGAAGACATTTTCCCTAGTGTCCAACCTAAACTTCCCCTGGTGCAACTTGAAGCTATTTCCTCTTGTCCTATTACTTGGAAGAACAGTCCCTTAAATTTGGTCCTCTAAATTTGGGCTAAGGTGCTTCCAGTGCATCCCATGCATGGGGAGCACAGGCAGAGCCTGTCTGCAGAGAGAGCAGTTCCTCTAAGGTTCTGCAAGGAGCAGAGAAGGAAAATGGGCACTTTCAGCCTGCCAGGTTTCTCTCACATCTCTCCCTAGAGGCTGTGGAAGATGACACTGCTAATGGGAAGCAACTGCCAGAGTGGCAGCCTGGGATGTGAAAGCACAGACAGCACAGAGATGTGTTGCTGACAACATCTGAGCAAAATATTGATGGTTAAATGATGGAGGGAGAACTGGGGCACCAAGAGGAAGCTCTCTGATGTAGTGACCCCAATTTGGAAAAGTCTGCTTGACCCATCTACCCATGGGTAGAGCCTCATTCTTGGAAACATTCCAGAGCAGGCTGGATGGGGCTTTCAGTGACCTGCTCTAGCTGAAGATGCCCCTGCAAGATGACCTTGAGAGGTCCCTTCCAACCCAAACCATTCCATGATTCTATGGCTGGGCAGAATGAGGAGAATCCCACCCTGACACAGGAGGGCAGCAGGAGCAGCTGGGTGGAGAGAACCTCCCCTAAACCCTTACGTGTTGTGTGAGGAGGAGATCCAGTAATGGGAGAGGGGGTTGTTCATGTTCTCAGGACACACCATGTCCAGCTGGGAGTTCCAGATGCTGTTCTCTTTGGAGAAGAGGAAGGTGAGAAACTGCTCAGGAAGAAAGAGAGGAGTGTTAATGATGGGGAGGAGCTGGGTGCTGTGCTTCAGCTTCACACACATCCCAGCAGCTCTCAGGCAGCAGCTATGGAGCAGGGAGCTGGTTTTGAAGCTCAGCACAACCCGACCAGAGGCAACCAAGGCAGCACACCACAGCCTGGCCCAGTGTGCTCAGGTGACCACAGCTTCAGCATCACCACCTCTCCTCTGAGCAGTGCCAAGTAGCTGTGCACAAACCCTCCCACCCAGCTGGGACACAGCACTGGCTCTGGCTTTTTATTTGGCAGCTGACATGGGAGGTGACAGCTCAGTAAGGCCACAGGGGCCAAGGGACCTTCTCCAGGGAGTCAGTCCAGAGTGCCAGTGACATGGTCACCTCCAGTTGTCTTTATTCTTTTCAGCTCTTCATGCTTTGAAAAGATCCTTACATGCTCCAAAGGGGCATTAAGCCCTATGCAGCCCCTTCCTCCCCAAAAGGAGCTGCCTGATGAACACTCCCAGCTGCACAAGAAGAGAGCTCAGGAGTCCTTCCCTTCCCCAACCAGCTCTTGTGTGTCACAGTGACCCACCACATTCATCTCACACAGCAACAGAGCTTACAGGAGCTGGGACCCTCTAAGCACAGGCACCCTGCAGTGGAGACAAGCCCCAGAGCTGTCCCACCTCTCACAGGGGATGTCCCACCCCACTCCATACAGGCTCGAGGTGTCTTACCTCATCCAGGGAGAAATAAGGCTCATCGATCTCCCTCAGAGGGTCTCTCAGAAAGTTGAACATGAACTCCTGGACCTGAAGGATATCTGCAGCCCAGAGCTCCTGCAAAGCCCAAGAGAGACATAAGGTCAGCAAGGGAGTGGACTGGCTGCTCCTCAGGAGCTGCTGAGGCCTCCCAAGCAGACAGCATGGACCATGACCATTCTGCAAACCTCCAGTACCAGCCCAGGTCACAGGGACTGGGTAAATTACTGACCAGCTCCTCCCTCCTAGGACCTCCACTCCTCTCCTATCTTCTGCCCTTGGTCCCTTCTCTGCCCAGGGTGCCTAGCTGGGGCCAGGTTCACCCTCACCAGCACTCCCCCTGCACCACCTCCTGCTCCTGGAAGGACGTGCTCAGGCCATGGCCATGCCAGGCAGAGTTCCCAGGAGCAAATCCTCCCAGCTCCATGGCAAGGCCACCCTTGGAGTACTGGATTCCTACCAAAACTGGTGCCTATCCCCCAGGCCTGTGTCAAGCTCACCCTCTGGTACTCCAGCAAGAACTTCTGCAGCTCCAGCAGCGACACTCTGAAGTGCTCAGACCTTTCTCCACCCCTAAAAAACAGAGAGAGAAGCTTCAGTCACTCGTGCAGCACATCATGACCAACTGTTAGTGGTGATGTGTGAGAGGCCACCTCCAAGCACCACGACACGTGCAAGATGTGCCTGAGCAAGCAGCACTGCAGGAGGAGAGCGAGCTGAGGAGGACACCACAGCCAACCCAGCAGCTGGGATGGTGTCCACATCTCCAGGAGCAGTCTAGGATTCACACTGCCAAGGGTATGGCAACATCAAACTCTGCTGAAGGGTCAGCAGCAAAAGTCATCAGAGGGCCTGAATTGGTCAAAAAAAAACCCAAATAGAGGGTCTGGCTTGTAGAGAAGTGAAAAGAACCAAAGAGGTGCAGGGCAGTCAAGGGGTGACTGCAGACAGGACAGAGCTACAGCTCTCCAGAGGACATGGGCTCATGGAAGCAGGGCAAGGAATGAAGGAAGGAATTGTCTGTAGCTGATTATCTCAACGTCAGAAGACTTATCCATGAAGGTACCAAACTGCTGGCACAGTCCCTGGCGTTGTGGCCAACCAGCACCAACCACAAGGGTAACTTTTGGGAGATGGCCCAAGGTCTGATGGCTTCACATAAACCAACTGAGCCTTTCTGGAGGTGGCTGACCTGAGCTGGAGCCCTTCCTGACCCCAGCTGAAGTCTCCCCAGCACAGATGTCTATCCAAAACTCCAGCAGGGTGGTGGGAAGCAGGAGGTGGGCAGGAATCCTCCTCCCAGCACGCTGCTGCAGGCACCAGGGCAGGTGACAGAGCAGAAGGAGACAAACAGAGAACCACCCACCTGTCTAGGAAGGGGACATCCATCTGCAAAAGAACCACAAGTGTTAGAATCACAGACTGGTTTGGGTGGGGACCTTTCAAGGATCATCTAGTCCAACCCCCAGCACTGAGCAGGGACATTGCAACCAGAGCAGGTTGCTCAGAGCCCCAGGCACCCTCACAGGTCCCCATCTCTGCTGTGCTGAGGACTCCAGAGCTGCCCCAGCACTGCAGGGGGGTCTCCCCAGCAGGGCAGGATCCCCTCCCTGCCCTGCTGCCCACGTTTCTCTTCATGCAGCCCAGGGAACATTTGGCCTTCTGGGCTGCAAAAGCACACGGTGCCAGCTCCTGTCCAGCTTCTCCCCCACCAGTACCCCCAAGTCCTTCATCCTCACTCAATCTCATCACCACACAGGCAAGCACAATGTGATTGAGAAGGTAACAGGGGCAGCACGGTGCAGCTCAGCTCTCCTATGGCTCACACTCCACGGCCCCCTCCAGCCCAAGCAGCCCTGTGCTGACCAGCCCAGAGCAGGAACTTCTTCACCCATCTCCTCCCTGGCCCAGGGGTAGGAGACAGCAGCTTTTGGCTGAGGGTTAAAAAGGCAATTAAGAGGGAATGCCCAGTCACCAATATGGAAAAGACCTCAAAGATCAAGTCCAACCATCACCCAGCACTACCATGACCATTAAACCACATCCCCAAGTACCACATCTACATGTTTTTTGGAGCCCTCCAGGGATGGGGACCCCACCACCTCCCTGGACAGCCTAGGTCAGTGCCTCACCATTCTGCCAGGAGAGAAATCCTTCCTCATATCCAATCAAAACCTCCTCTGGGGCAACTTCAGCCCATTGCCTCTCATCCTATCAAGGCGTAAGTGGAAGAAGAGACCAACCCCCACCTCCCTACACCCCCAGATCCCCCAGCTGCTCCTCACAAGCCATGTTCCCCAGACCCTTCACCAGCCTGGTTGCCCTTCTCTGGATGAATGGCCTCTGCCCCCCTGCCCAGCCCTGGGGAATGGAGCCCTTACCATTTTCTGGGCGCTGAACATGAGGCTGCGGTAGAGCTGAGCGAACTGCCCGTAGGTGATGTCCCCATTCCTCTGCTCCACGTCCTGAAAAACCCCAGAGGTCAACTGTGCCTGGCCCAAGGACTATCTCCTCCCACCAGGACACCCAGGAGGAGGGAAGGGACAAAGGTTGGTTGGATTTTGCCTCCTACTTGTGCCCATCTCTGCTGGAGCCAGCAGGACCCTGTGGTGCCCCGGACACGGGCACACCTTAAGCTGAGCTACGTCGTTCCCCGAGCTCATCCCACAGCACAGTGGTGATTAAAAACCTCATCACTGACTTGAACAGCGACAAAAGGATCATTTTTAACTTTTCTCTTTGCAGAGGGGCTCTGCAGTGCCTGGGAACTGCACGCCCTGAGGCGGGTGCTCTCCTTTGGCACCACTCCTCAGCCTCAGGGTCCAGTGCTGGTGGGCACGGGTGGTCAGCAGGAGGTGACCCCCATCTCCTGGTGGCAGTGGGCTGTAGGACCTCACTGCCCATCCTCCTGCACTCAGCCCCAGCAGCACAAACCCCACAGCCCGAGCCAGGAG